AAGAAATGGTCATATAATGAACAAATGGTAAAAAATATGATTAACATTGTAAACTGGAAAAAAATTAGGAATGTAATAACAATGAAGACTCATGTATTGATTTTTACTTATAAACTTTCAAAGAAATCAAGAAATATTTGATTCTCACTATTTTTATGTAGACATAAATTGAAAAAACCCATAGTAACTTATAAGAAAATCTTTCAAGGAAATCAGAAAATTTGGTTCATAGTATTTTTAAAATATTTTTTTATAAAAGGCACATATAAAGAAATTCAGCTAAGATTTGAATCCAAAATTAACTACCCTGCGTTTTAGGTAATTAAAAAAAAATAAAAAGTTGTTATCTTTAGACTGCATTATGTTGGTTTTTTTGCTACTATTTTTAGTAAATAAGTTATCTTTTTATATAGATATAGATTGATTTTTTGGAATTGTTTTGGGTTGAAGTTTTAAGGGTGCACAAAGTTCAAAGTTCGGTTAACCGAGTCGAACCTACCGAATCGAAAATTCTGTTTGGACCGAAACCGAAACCGAATATTTGGTTCGGTTTTCGGTTTATATTTTCTTATAAATTCGATTTTCGGTTTGGTTTGGATAATTGTGATCGTTTAACCGAAGCAAACCAAAAATCGATTTACACACACACACACACACACACACACACACATATATATATATATATATATACATGTTTTTAATGTATTCATATAAGTTATAGAAGCATTAATTTTTTTCCAATGATTGAAGTTTTGTTTTGAAAGATGCTCTTAACACGCGCACACACACACACACTGATAGATCAAGTTGAAACAATATAAATGAATTACAACTTATATTTTTTTTTCGGAACGATACAAATTGTATTAAGAACACAAATGTGCAAACAGAAAACAACCCAGAGCTGAATGATAAGACTGAGAGCTAAAAAAACTGGGAGGCAGATCCAGATATCGCCAAGAGTCCGAACTCGCAACACTAGACCAACAACACAGACACAGAAACTTAAAAAAAGTACAACTAAGCTCCAATAACGAAGAATAAAAGACCTCAAAGGGATAATATCTGCTCACACTCGAGTGCACAGAGGTCAACGACTCAAACAAAAAAATAACTTCTAAACAAGTAACCAAAAACATAAACACAAAAACGAGAAAAACCAGCTCACACGAGCCCTTCCGCGGCGGATCAATCGAGCCGCACCAGTAGACAAAAGTCAACCCCAAGGAGAGATCCTTGGCCCAAGAAACCGCTTACACCACTAGCCGGTAACCACGGCTCCGGTTTCCACTCGGCCCAACACCATAACCATGGGGAGAAAAGGGCAAGATCGATTCCTCAGCCCAAGCCACTCCGACGTAGCCGCCGCGAGCAGTCCGAGCCACGCCTAGCCCACTGCACCACAACCTGCCCAACGCCACCGCAGACCAGTGGGACGACGACCCGAACTCACTGACCGACACTTGAGAGAATGGCGAAATCCAACCATGGGAGACCGTCGTCAATAGTCGGCGCGACAGAGACGGGAGACGCATCATCAGGGCAGTAGGCCGTGCAACCAAAGGCGGTCCACCAGCGCGAGCCCGCTCACCGTCGAGTAAGGCAAAACGAGATGGGAGTGAGAATTAGGGATCAATTTTCTTCATTTTTTTTTTTTTTTATTTACAACTTATATACTTCAAAATTTGAAAAGCTAGCTGTCTCCCTCCACCAATCCGTTCCTCCACCTAATTTCTAAAAAAGGAACATAAATAGCAGCTGTTCGTGAAACAACAAAATGACCCCACCATTTTCCCCTCACATACATATAATCTATCCACACAGCTACTCTTCAAGTTCAATGGCGCCCAATTCTAACTCAAATTCCAACACAAGAAAACCTTCATCGCAATTTCTCAACATGGCAGTCCCCATTTTGGACGACGATGATGATTTTCAAGATTGCCCTTCGTCCTCGTTCTCCACCGCCTCCAGAAAGGCCAGCTCGCAACCCTCGCGCCTGAACCCGCTTGCTTCGACCACCCTGCGTCCTTCCGAGAAGCCGAGAAAACGAAGATTCGTCAATCTCGGAAAGGAAAATCACCCATTCGGCGTGGCGGAGGCGGATTTGGTTGGTGGATTGGACTCAATCGAACCAACCCTCGATTTGCTGAACCCCAATGGGAATAGTGATTATTTACTCTGTAAAAGCTCAGTGGAGCCGGCACTGTTGAGGCCATGCGGGGATGATGGGGAAAGAAATTGCAATGAGGAGTTTCCGGAGGAAAACTCGGAACTCGATGTGCTGCTCAAGCTATGTGCCGACGTGGACGATCAGAACGATGGTGATGGTACCGATTTGGAAGATAAATCCGTGGGTTTAATCTGTTGTCCTGTTTGTGGAGCTGATATTTCGGAGTTGAGTGATGATATGAGGCAGGTTCACACTAACGAGTGCCTCGATTTGGTGAAGGATCCATCTGAAGTAAGAACTTTCCCTTGTCTTCTTAATTTAGTGCGACTCTGCTTCCAATTGCTTGCTGTAATTTTGCATTTCGGTGTACGTATTCAAAATTCGATCTGCCAGATGTGTTCAGGTAGATTATATTTCGTTCTAAGTGATCCTAGTTGGTGGCTATGCCCAAATATTGAGCATTACATTTGATCTTATTATAAGGTTCTTTTGCAAAATAAAGAATATCAGTTTTGACTGTTGTTTTTCAAGAATATGATGAAGAGAAAAAGTTGTCTGTAGTTTAGGCAGATTAATGGAACACTACATGTTCAACTAGAAACAAGAATGAACTGAGTTGCATGATGCTGCCATTTGGTGTGATACCATCTTCTTTGTTGAAATTTTTGAGTTATCAATAAGACTTTGAATTTTTTACTTTTGAAATCGCTGTTGAAGCTTAGCTAAAATTCCATTTAGATGCCTAATGTAAATTTCTAGCTCAAGATCATAATGTAACTTCAGGTGGCTGCCAACACTGATGATAGAGGAGAAAATCAATGTCCCGGGCAAGTCGTTGATGGCTCTCCTAATAAACCTGAAACAAAGTCTGTTGATGTATCCCGAGTTGTAGAATGGCTGCGCGATTTGGGCCTTGGAAAGTATGAAGAATTTTTTATAAAGCAAGAGATTGATTGGGATGCATTGCAATGGTTGACAGAAGAGGTGAGTTCTGTTTTATGACTAACTGTGAAACAGTGAAAGAATACCTTGTGGATTATTTTCTGCATCATATAACCATATTATAAATGAATAATGCCAATTGTTTTGTGGCAGGAACTATGCGACATTGGTATTACAGCACTGGGCCCTAGAAAAAAAATTCTTAATTCTCTTCGAAACACAAGAAATGACTTGAGCGGGCCAACTGAACCTAAGACAGCTGTCTCAAGAGTTTTGGCTGACGAGACTAAACTAGCAACAAACAAGTTGATCACTGATTACTTTTCAAGTCCTCCCTCAAACCAAAAAAGTGGTGCTGTTACCAATAATTGCCACAATAATGTCAGACAAAACAGAAAAAATTCTACTGGCACTGGCAGGAGCACTGAAGGAAAAGACAGTTTGAGGAATAGGAAACAGAAAGATGCCCCTAGGTGGTGTTGCATACCGGGGACTCCATTTCGAGTGGTAAACTGAACATTATTAATGCAGCAACTTTCGGATAATCAATAATTTCCAACTCCCTGATAAGTGTGATCTCATGGTAGCACATGCGGCACCGAACAAATCCTGCTCATTTTTTCTTTCCTTTTCCCTTCTTTTGATGTCTCATTTGAAGAATATTTTGCCTTTGTCTGCTACATGCCATAGTCATTGTATATAGCAATAATAAGCATCCAGAAATATGCTTCTGTAAAATTAAAAGAATTCTCAGATGACTGTTATCATTTCTGTTTCAGAAAGCTTTGACTTCAAATATGCTCCTATGATATCACTTGTTGGCTCATTTGTCTATATATAAACTACTAGGATTTATAATGGTGAGCCCAAGACCTTAAATTTGATTTTCTGTATAGTACTCGATTCCCAGTAATTTCAGAGTTTTAACTAATAATCCTTTTTATTTTTTGAAATTCCTTGATTTTTGTTTACAAATGTAGTACTTGGCTACTTGCTTCCGATTAAGTGACTAATTTCAATAGTTTTCGTATCTTGTTTGCAGGATTCGTTTAAACACCTAAGAAGAGAGTGTTCTCATTGGTTTCTCAGCCACTTCCATTTTGATCGTAAGTCTGACTGAATACTTCTGGAGCAATGTATATATAGAGATGGCATTGTTTGATTGTCTGCACCTGATACCATATTGTGAATTGCCAGAGCTACACTTCTGGAAGATGCCACTATTGTGTTAAGTTCTTTCGAAGGAGGGTGAATTTAGAGTTTTTCAGAAGTCAATGATTAAAACATGTCACTTTACCTTTTTACTACTAAGAAAAACAGAAGTTGAGATACTTGGTTTCTTGGGAAGATTTTGATTCGAGCAATGTGATTTTGATAGATCATTATGGGACTAGCATAGGCTTGCTACAGTGGGACAGACTTAGTTTCTGGGTTTTGAAGGAAGAAAGGTTTTGCAGATAGCGTTTTGATGGGCTGGATGCTATATATTTCAAAAACAACGTGAGCTTTAAAATGTATCTTGTGAAATTGTTGTCTGTGTCGTTGCTTGCTTTATTCTGTCGATATAGATATAAGATGAGAAAACTAGTGGTTTCATCAGATGAGTGTCTGAAACAAAAGAATTCAAAATGATGATGAAAAGAACTCTGGTTTTGCGTTGTCAACATACCTGGATCAGCACCTTTATTTCTTTTGCAAAACATTTGGAACAAATGAATAGGAGTTATTAACCATTCTTATTGCATTGCTCTCTGCAGATTATCAAGGGCTTACAAAGTCCTTTTGTCATGGGATAATATATTGCTCCTTAATAACAGCGAAGCTAGTCAATCTGAAGATTGGAATCCCCTGGGATAAAATTCAAGTTTTGCCTCTGAACCAAAAGATTAGTATTGCAGGAACTGATGTGACGTGCTTTGATGCAAATCATTGCCCTGGTGCCATCATAATCTTATTTGAACCACCCAATGGTAAGGTGTGTATCAAACTTCGTAACACTTTCGCTTTTTTCTTTATTTAGTTGGTGGTGCTTTTTCTAAGAGACTAAGACTTCCCTGGTCATTTACTCAGCCTGTGTTACACACTGGAGATTTCCGCTTTTGTGAGGAAATGAAAGAACTGTCTATTTTGCAAACATGTTCAATCTACACCCTCATCCTTGACACAACCTACTGTAATCCCCAGGTAATCTATCTATCATCTATCTATACATATATCTATAGCTATATCTATCTATCTATCTATATCTATAATCTATAATCTAATAAAAGTAATCTAGTAAAAGGAGGAACAATTTTGTAACAAATTGCACGGACTAAAAAGTCCTATATATAAGGATTTTAATTTTATAACTAATAGAAATAGAGAAAGTGCTATTTGTACAAACTCTCTTTACGAGAGGATTTTAATTTAATAATTAATAGAAACACCAAAACCCTCTATTTGTATAAAACTCTCCATACGAGACAAAATATTAGTACATGTGTGAAATTGAAGTCTAGAGAATTTAAATAGTATCAAAGATCAATATAGAATAGAAAAGAGGATAATTTAAGTTTTTGTAAAAGTCCAAGGTCAATCTCATACAATCTTTAGATTTATATAAAATATACATGAAGCAAATAGCATGTCATATAATATTGCCCAACTACCTTTGTTTAGGAAAAAATAAAACATTAAATAGGAGATAATAGAAACGACTAAAAATAATAGAGAAAAACACATGACAAAACATAAAGAACAAAAAAAAAAAAAAATGTATTTTGCATAAAATATTATGAATATAGTATGAAATATTAAAACACAAGAAACACAGTTATTATAAATTTATATAATATAAATTTATATAATATAAATTATACAGAAACAAACAAGCATATTTGATATTATATATAAAAATAATGAAAGAGGTATTAGTCTTTCTTAAATATGAATAATCAATTAAAAATCTATATCTATATATTTACATATATATAAAAAAGTTTGATTATTTTTTAAATAATAATTATTTCCCGCCAAAGAAATATTGTTTACTAATTCTGGAACTATTTAAACACTTTATGGTATGTTTTAAAAATATAATTTAGCGACTGATTTATTAAGGTAATAAATCACATAAAAATTTCTTTTATATCTCAAGATATTCATATCATATATATGTACATATATATATATATTATTTACTTGTACCTAAAATATCGAGATCTATCACATTCCTAACAAACATTAAATTTACTTATATATTTTTAAATTAATCACATCAATAAACAATAATAATATACATTAAATATTTATATTTATTATTATATACAAAAGGAATATTACTTCTATAAATGTTATAAATAATATTGACATTATACAAACAATAAATTTTTGAATAAAATAATATTTGAATATTATCATGAATCAAAATATGTAAAATAATTATTTTTTTGTATTAAAAAATAAATATATATGTTAAAATGTTATTTATATTAATATAAAGGGATTAACGGGCTAATACATTGTTAAAATAAAGTTTTGCAAAAAAATTTTTTGTTACGAAATCCTCGTGCATCGCACGGGATTCTCACTAGTAAAAAGGTAAAAGGTATGAACATAATATAAGATTACCTAAGAATAAATTTCTACTGAAATATGAATCTTTTATATCTTTTAATAAATATTAAAAAAAAGTTATGTACGTCTTATTATCCACAATTTGCTCATTCAATTTGCAACTGAAATTATTCACAAAAATATGGATTAAATTGTGAAAATTGTACATAAATTATTATCAGTTATAGAATTATATGTAAATACTAAAATTTAAACCTGTTCATAAATGCTAAGATAATGTTCGTAGTTGTGTTCTCAGCACGGTATGAATAATAAATAATAAGTACGACTCATATGATTGAAAAATGTATTGGAGAAAACACATGACATAATATGTACACTTCATATTGTGCAGTTTTTTATTCATTTAAAATACCATTATTATAAGTTTGTAACCAGAAAAAGAGAGAATTAATGATTTTTCTCTTCTTATATTTAAATAAATTATTGATTGTGTTGTTATTATAAATGTGTGTTTTTTTGTTTTGTTAAGATCCCCTGTGTTGGTCAAACAACCAACCTCTTATTTTGTGTTTCGTATATTTTTAATACTAAATTATAATTACAGTTAAGTATTCTAATAGAAAAATGTTTCAAGTATAATTTATTACAACTTATATCAGCATACATAATAACAAATGAAATTAAAATAACTAAAATTGAATGGGCAAAATCGTACATTAAAATCTTAAATTATAGCAAATATCTCATACGATGCATGAAGTTATCGTCATGAATCGTATAAACAATAAATTAGATTGACATACTTATACAACGTAATATAAAACTTATCTTTTTCATATAAAAATAACAATACCATAAACATATTTTTTTTTGTTTATTTTTTAGTGATATATAACATTTTATGGTTAATGTCCATTGCATATGGAGCTGGAAGAGTCATTGTTGACAATTCTCCTGGCATAGTGCTAATAATGGACTAGATCAAAATGACTCAATTAAATTCTAGTGCTTCTTCTATTAGTGAAGTTTCTAGAAAAAATATATCAAACGACGCAACGCACCTTGGGTCGCTATGGAAACAGCCTCCTTGTATGATTACAAGGGTAAGGTCTGCGTACAACTGACCCCCCAGACCCCAACCTGTTGGGAATATACTGGATATGCTGATGTTGATGATGATAACATTTAATGGTTGTTAATTTGTATATAATTATTTTAGATTACAAATTTCATGTTATTTATTGACGGATTTTGATAAATGAACAATTAGTTTCATGTACTCTTTTTTATCACAACTTTTCAATGTTATTGTTAATGTTATTTGGAATGATGTTTCAACTCTGAACACATTTATTACAATCCTTTGCAGTTGTAATTATCGGTTTCTTTTCTCCCACTACACCAGGTTGAAACAATCCTTGATCAGTGCAGGATTTAGTAGAACACTTGTACTCTCTTGTTTCATTTTATAAGTTACACGTCAAGAAAAGAATTAACCATGGAAAGTAGTTATTATTCTGTATCTCTAACTTTGCATCATGAAATATGGTGGTTTATAGCAACATCAGTAGCTTCTTCTATACAACTAGTAACATTATTTATTTAATCTTCTCCACTCATTTGCTTATGCTGGTTAATGAATAATGGTTTCTTTTCTGATCTTGCAGTATGACTTCCCAAAACAGGAGGCTATAATCCAGTTTGTGATCGAAGCCATTCAAGCTGAAGCTTTCAACCCAAAAACTTTGTTTTTGATTGGCAGCTATACCATTGGTAGTGTCCACTTTCCAAGCTCACTTCTAAAAAAACCCAGCTCATGCTGACACCTACTCTCCATTTAGTCATGTTTGAGTGTCGTTTATTAGCAATTTTAATCACTCTTCAAAATATATTAATTATTTATGCCTAAATGTTGAATGGGGACAGGTAAAGAAAGAGTGTTTCTAGAGGTTGCTAAAACTCTCCGTAAGAAAATTTATGTCACTAGAGCAAAACTACGCATCTTGGAATGTCTGGGTTTGCAACAGGAAGACATGCAATGGTTCACGTTAAATGAGCAAGAGAGCCATATCCATGTTGTTCCCATGTGGGCTATTGGTAGTTTCAAAAGATTGCAACATATGTCTGACCAGTACAAGGTAAACCGACGTGCATTGCTTATTATACAATTAAATACTAACTTCTGTTTATTACCTACATCAACCAATTTCTTTATGAGGCTCGGATTTCATTCTTCTATTTCTCCTTTTTGGTTGCATACTAGCTAAATGGTATGAGATGACAAGAAGACTTCAGCTCATGTTAACTGATGTATTCCATATTTGCCTCTTACATTAGTATTTACATTAAATTTGCTGCACAGGGTCGATTTAATTTGATTGTTGCTTTCTCACCAACTGGTTGGTCATTCGTAAAAGGAAAGAAGTCTACTGGAAAAAGGTGGCAGAAGGGAACAATTATACGGTACTACTCAGTTTTAACCTCATTCAACCACATAGATTTGTTCCTATCATTATGGGGAAAAAAACACCACATGAATCTTCGAAGTACTGTTTCTGTTCTTGATTTAAAAATCTATGACATATAGAGCACTTTGAGAAACAGTATTTGGACAGCATAATAAGGAAATTTACTTTGAAGCGGTGAGGAAATTGACGGAAATGAAACTAACTAATGGGAGTGGCCACTCCTACGTTTGATCTTTTGTTTTTTGTTGCTATTAATAGGATAGACTATAGAGGATCTTCTTAAGTTATATACTGCATCAGTTTTGCTTGGAAATCATATATGGACATATATGTATGATAACATGGAAACTCGACTTTGGAATAATATTCTTTTACTGCATCTTCAGGTATGAGGTACCGTACAGCGAGCATAGCAGCTTTACGGAGCTCAAGGAGTTTGTTAAGTTCATATCGCCTGTAAACATTATACCAAGTGTCAACAATCACGGCCCGGATTCTCATAATGCAATGGTCTCCCAACTCTTGTCTTGATGGAGATAATCTGTTGGAGATTCTCCCTCTTTCTTAATTTACCATAAGCAAACCTGTGATGTTGGCTGTATTGTGTTTGTATTTTATTCTATAACCATGAAAAATACATGGTAGTAATTTATTGAGGTTTTAGATGATAATACAGAAGTAGACTCACCGGAAAAAAA